CCCAGGCAGCAGCCTGCTGGGGGTGATGGGATTATAGTCAACCCACCTGGAGGGAACCAGATGGTTCGAAAGAGACCCTCACCTGCCCGCCCCAGCCGCCCAACCTATGAACTCCAGAGCCTTTCCGACCGCCTCGTGTTGTCTCCAGTCAAATCTGGCGTTGTAGTTGAGCTTTTCCTGAGTTTATCCTCTTGTCATAAATCATTACGCTCCCTTTCTCTCTTCAGAAGACTCCCACCAAAAAAAATCAAAAACCACCCCAAACCGGGATTGGGAAAACCTCCAACCCACATGAAAGGGACGAGGGGATCCTTTTTGTTTCGATTAAAAAAACCAAAAACAAAACGGGGAGGGGGAGGGAAACAGCGCCTTTCCCTTTAATTAAACACACAGTTTATTTTGCTAGAGACTAATTTGGCAGGGCATTGCCTCTGCTCCGACTTTAGCCCTCTGGCTACGAGAAGGGCATCTCTGCACTTCGGCGCAACTGCGCACAACATGTCCCTACTTTTCCAGTTCTTCCTTTTATTTAACATCTACAGTGTGCTTTTGCGGGGAGGGGGAGGAGGAGGGGGAGCGGAAAGCATGTTTTTCAGCCGATGGCTATGCAGGCTGATAGAGGGAGGAGGGGGCGGGGAAAAATAATAGATTTAGGGCAAATTTCAGAAACAGGCACAAATCCTTCCCTAATTGTTTTATTAGAGGGATCAGATTAATACTAAACCTCCGTGTGAACAGTACTCCCTGGAGAAAGCTTCTCTTCTCCCCGCACCTCCTCCGGGGTCCAGCAACAGTAAACACCACCAAAATTGACACAAATCTCGTTGGAACTGGAAAGGATTTCACAATCCTTCCTCGATTTTTTAATGGCAATTCCAATCGATTAGACACATGCTAATTGGAGACCCAAATGCAAATCGTTATGACAGCTAATAGAGTTCTATAAAAAACACAACAATGCCTTTCCTGGGGTATTATATTTGCTGCCAGTTATTAGGAAAGTTTTCTCATTAAAAATCTTGAAAATGTAATTTCTTCCAAGGTTCTTCCTCCCCCTCCCCCCTCGTCCGCTTTGCATATAACCGACACTCTCTCCACGGAAATCTATAAAGAGCAAAACGTTAAAATCACATATGCCTCTTAAAGAAAATCCTTAGCTTGTGTAGAGGGGCTTGGTTGTTTTTTCCAAGGGGGAAGAGCGCTCTGCTAGAATACATCAAATGGGACCTCCCTTTACGGCTGCACTAATTCTCCCTCCGCCCCTTAAGTGATTCCCATTAGGTATTTTAAACTACAATAATCTCGAGGGCAAAGGGAGGGGCCGTGCAGATGAGAATGGCAATTGCAACAATTAACATGCAGGGGCAAATAGGATTCAAATGAGGTGGAACCAGAGCAAAACTTCACAAGTTGTCCTTGAAACTTCCTCAGGGTCAGGGCAGCCGCCCCAGAAAGGAGAGACTCGGGAAAACCCGCACGCGTCCCCTGAAGCACACCATTGGGTGGGAAGCAATCCCATTCATCTCCATGGAATTTGCTCCCAGGACAAGGAAGCTTGATCTCATGCTTGCTCTGCAGTGATTCCCCTTGATTCTAATAGAAAGCTGATATTCCCAGCCAGACTGCCTTGCAAGAGATAGCAGGGAAACAACCCGCATCACAGGTCCCTTGAGCGCTCCCCCCGGTGGCCCTGCTTACCTGCAGGTTGTGGTATGCGGAGGAACTTGCTTCTGAGTAAAGCTGCATAGGATGGGCCTGCAAGCATCGCAGGAGCACAATCCTTGCCCTGCTTATTCAGAGGCGAGTCCCACTGTGTTCAACGGCGCTTAGCCTAAGGAAAGCGCGCCTCGGACGGCGCATCATGTGTTTATGGGAACAAAACGGGGGCAAGGGGCTCGTTTTGGAGGCACTTGTTTCGACCTGATACCGGTTCTCTCCTCTCCCTCCTGCTCTACCTGCAGATTTCGCTCTTCAGATCAGCTGAATTTGGATTACAGGTTGCGGAACGGAAAATAGTCTACCTTTGCTCATTTCACCTCAACTTTTGAAAAAGTCTCAAGAAACGCCCCCCCCCCCCCGCCTCCCAAGGATTCTGGTCAGCGTTAAAATGTTCTTGTTAGAAAACGGATTAAGGGATCCGGGACTGCACATCTGCTCACCATCTTTCTATCCAAGATCAATCTTTCTATTGATCCGGTTCCTCTGTTGGCGCTTGGGTTGGCCAAGAAACCCAACACACGTTATGTGCAAAACCGAGGGAAGAAAATCTCAGAATGTGCGTTACAAGCCTCATCTAACTCAGCGGCAGTTACTGCCAAGTTATCATGCCCAGGATCTGCCTGGGAGTTTGATGTTTTTCTCTTTCTCAGGCATACATTGCTAGGGGAAAAGTACAATAAAACATCAACAGCGTATTCTATTCTATTTTACAGTACTAAGAATGAATCACGGTCCTTTAGAAGGAAGCAAGGATGGTTAATTCTTGCACCAATAAGAGCAGATGTTATGCAATGCATTCCTGTTCTTATTTACTTGAAGTAAGCACCATTCAGTTCAATGGGACTTGCATTAGGACTGCAGTCTTAAATTATGGTGGAGTACAGAGTAGGTGCCCTCCTCTGAATTTTCTTTCTAAATAAGATTATAGAGATTATTATACCGATCTGTGGACCAGAAGTCTTTCTCTTTCGGTCCGATTTGGAATTCTGTATCATCTTTCTGTTTCACCTGGTTTAATGACTATATATAAAGCTTTCTAAACTGTAAACAAAGAAAAACACCCACACAACCTCCTTTCAGCTACAAAACAATTTTATATGTTCATGCTGCCCCTCCTCTTCAAAAAGGGGGATGTCCTAACAAAGCAAGCCTAGAAAAACATCCTTGTTCCAGATTTGTCTGAAGATGTTCAGATAACTATTATTTGCCCTCTCTTGAGAGGCTTCCTTGGGGAGGGGGAGAGTGAATTAAAAGCCTCCACCCCTTGGAATAGCAATTCCCTTCTCACCCTCCTCTCTTTTCTTCTTCTTCTGCTCAGCCCATCTAAGATCATAATAAAATAAGAAAAATAAACGACGCCAGGAGAATTGGAGAGGGGGCAGTCATCAAAGCCAAGACGATTAAACTGTTAGGGGAAAAAAGGCAAGCGAGCCTTTCGTGAGCGAGGAAACCCGCTCGCTTCGACCTCTCTTCCTCTATGCACCCACTTTATGACCCTTGCAGGCACCTTTCCGCGCGCGGATTGTTTAAAGAAAAAAACTTGGGTCGCTTTGCTGGCACGGTCCGTGTGCACGCCAGGACTTTGGGGGCCTGTAGTGAGAAGAAAGAGCTGCCACTCGGCTCCTGTGTTTTTCCAGTTTGCTTCCTAAGCTGGGTTTAGGGTTTTTTCCTCCCCTTCTTTTTCTTCTTCCCTGCACGGATACGTTTCCTTTCTCTCCCTCTCCCTCTCCCCCTCTCCAGAGCGTCTATCAATGCGCTGTCAATCAGTGCGGCGGCTTCCCTTTCATCTTCTTTCCTCCCGCCCCCACCCTTTCAACGAGGCGCGCGGGAGGAGGAGAACGGGGGGGGGAGGGAGGCGGCGGAGGAGCGGTGGGTGGAGGGCATGGTAAAGTTACATTACAGAGGCAGAGCGCGCGCGAGACGAGCCGGCGGCGCCCCACTTCGCGCGGCCCGCCTCGGCAGGCGCATCCCAGGCGGGCGCGTCCGGAGCCCACGCGCCCGAGCCCTCGCGGCGGCGCCCGACCCGGCCCGACCCGGGGGCGGCCCGGCCCGGCGAGCTCCCCGCGCGAGAGACGCCTCCCCCGGACGGCTCGCGGGCGCGCAGGAGCGGGGGAGAAAGGGCGCGCGTGCGCGTGCGCCCCCCGCTCGCCTCCTGCGTGGACTGTCTCGCCGCGCGAAGCGGCCCACGGGGGACTGCGGCTTCGCGTGGACAGCGAAGGAGCCGGCTACGACGACGAAGCAGCCCGATCGGCGTGCCTTTACCCTTTCGTCCCAGACCGTGGTAGCCACCTCCCCTCCCCGTCCCTCCCCTCCCCACCCCGTACTTGTTTTGGGGCTGGGCAACCTGGAGCAGCTTTGGCGTCTTTATAGTCCAAGGGAAGGAGGCTTCCCCTGCTAACGAAAGGAGCGGGCGCCCTTGCTCGTCGCGCAAGAAGTTTGCAGTTATTTGCTTCTGCACCTAAGGGATTTCTGCACCATCTCTCCCCCCGCCCACCTTCCTGCTTCCCTTCTTCCTCTAGGAAGCCGAGGACAGAGAAGAGGAGTGAGCGGCGAAAAACTCCTCTGACCGAGGGACAAAGGCAGAGTCCTGGTGTGTGCGCGAGCGACTTTCTCTCTCTCTCTCCCCCCCCGGCACTTTCCCGGTCATCTCCACATCTCCGATTTATTTGACAAAGAGAAAAATCTCTCAATCCGGCCAAGCAGTATCCTCTCCATCGCTTCCACGAGCTGCAACCAGAAGTTTCGGCTCTGCGCTTTTAGCCCCCGTTAGTCTTACTTAGAGTAGACCTATTGAAATGAAGTTAGACGAACAACTCAGAATTCCCCGCCTTCTTTTAAAAAAGCCATCCCCCATCATGATGTTTGCCCATTAGGCATGTTCCCAGCCAGCCAGGGATCCGCGAGAACTTAGGTGTCTCTTTGTAAAAAAACAAACAAAAACCAGTCCCCTCCCCGCAGAGAAGATACAAGCAAAACCGGGAAGGGACGCAAACTTGTTCAGACTTTGCCGTCTTCTCTGCGCAGACACAACAGAGGCCGGGAGGGAGGAGAGCGCGTCTCCCTCTCTCCTCCTGCTCTCCCCCCTTTCTTTTAAAGGCAGGCAGGCAGGCAAAATAGACAGGCCGGGCTGCTCTCCGCTCTCCCCTCCCCCAGGTGTTTGGATACGGCTGGCAGGAGAGGACGGCGCTGGGTGTCGGGTGCGGGCGGGGCGGCGAAGGCGAGGCTGGAGAGCGGAGCGAGCGGATCGTCCGAAGACTTTCTTGTAACTTCCATCATCCCCGCCTCTCTCTCTCCCTTCCCTCCCGGCGTCCCGTCCCGTCCTTTCCCTTATTTATTCCCGGGGTGGAGCAGACGCGAGGCAGCCGCGGCCACTATGCCTCAGCTCTCGGGAGCCGGCGGAGGCGGCGGGGGGGACCCGGAGCTCTGCGCCACCGACGAGATGATCCCCTTCAAAGACGAAGGCGACCCGCAGAAGGAGAAGATCTTCGCCGAGATCAGCCACCCGGAGGAGGAGGGCGACTTGGCCGACATCAAGTCCTCGCTGGTGAACGAGTCGGAAACGATCCCCGGCGGCAACGAGCACGAGGTATGGAGGACGGGGTGGCTGCGGACGGCTCGGGGCAGCTCCTGCGAGCGGCGTGCGCGGCAGTTGCTGGAGCGGAGCAAACTTTCCGGAGCGGGCGATGGCCAAGCGTTAGCCACGGGCACCCAGGCGATAACGTTACGCAGCCGGGTTTCGCTCCCTGGGTGGCCGTCGGCGTGGGGGCGCCTCCTTGCCGTCCTTGGGCCTCCCCCCGCCCAAACCCACCAGCAAACCGGCTGTGCCGTGGTGAATTTCTTTGGAATGCGCTCGAGTGGGTGGCTTACTGCTCTGGGGTAACCGAGAGAGAGAGAGAGTCGGTTTAGGAACACTCGAAATGATGGTGACAGTGATTTAAGAAAGAAAGAAAGGGAGTTAAAGTGCCGAGGGATTTTTATTTTTCATTTTTCCAGGCAAGCAGAGGAAAGGGTGTGTGCGCCCAGCGCTGCAAACGGGAAACTGTAAGCCGCCGAATGGGATACTGTTTGCACCACGGCGCTTTGAAAGCCGATACTCCGCTGTTCCCCATGAATGAGTAGCGCTTGGTGTGGCGGAGGCGCTGTCGCCCCCCTCCCCGCCCGCGGAATTGAGGGCTGGAGCAGGCATGAAGGTTGAAACGGAGCGATTGTTTACCCGGCTCTTTAATCTTCGTGCTACCTTCCCCCAGCCTGAAACCATTTGGGGGGGGGGCATTTAATAGGGATGCAGGAATCACCCCACTCCCCACTTAAAGACTTTGCTGAATGAATCTGCGTTTGGCTCGTTCCTTGTCCGTTGGAAGATAACTATCAGGGCTGGGACTTACCTGGTCTGAGATTAAAACTTGGTTTGGTGCCGTGTATTCCGCATATATTATCGCGGTTACACTCCAGTAAACAAGGAACGGAGTAGGCAGAGACACGTGGGTGGCTAGGTACCAGTTCCCCGACTCCAGAGGAGAAATAAAAGCAGTATGGGCAAGGCAGGGCAAACAGACTCTAGGAAGCGATCCTCCTGTGCATCTTTCGGGGCGGGGGAAGATCCCGTGGAGACACAAGTCATAATGTTCTAGCTGTTAAACGACAAACACAAGCAAAACTGTAGGTTCAGGGGCAGCGGTTGGCTGTATTAAGAGTGCTTCTCCAACTTTAAGCTGGCAGGCATCACATTTGTTGCTGAAGGTTGCTGTGACTCATGCATTAATAAAAACTTGAAGGCTCCTAGTTTGATTTTGTTGAGGGGAAGGCAGCCTGGGGAGACTGAGAAAATTCAGTATTCTTGACATCTGCAGCCTCAGTAGCTTGACAATTAGAGTGGCAAATAAGTTGGGAGGGCCACCCCTCCTCCCTTTCTTGTTTCCTGCAGAGTAAGTTATAGTAATATTTTTGGAAAGCAGACAAGGAGTTTTGCCCTACCAATAACACAGAAGTGGCTCTGAGCAGAGTCACTTAAAGTATGTTCTGTTCACAATCAGAACAGTTAACTCTGCAATTTTATGGATACTGGAGAGGAAGACGCAGTGAAAGCAGCAGGACTTAGTTCTGGTTTACAGGATTGAACTGCAAACCTGTTTGTCTTTGGGTTGTCCCTTTTAGCATTGGTTTGAGTATATATTGAATAAAAGACAGGTAATGGCCTGTTATTTTACTATAATAAACTAATGTCTGTTAGTGTAATCTAGTCTTTGCAGCTTGTTTGTTATAGGTCCCTATAGGGATTTTTTGTGAGGATATAGGATAGCATGACTCTTTTTCCTTCCTAAGGCTACAGTTTGGTACAGACCTACTTGAGAGTAAGTCCTGTTCAACAAAATGCTAACTTCTGAGTAGACATGCTTAGGATTGAATTGTAAATCACTTTTCATGGTGTGGGCTTTATATGAATCACAGGATCCTATAATAGCATTAGGCCTCAAATAGCCATGAAATGTATTGGGTTAAAATTGAGCAATGTCAGATAACTAGTTATAAACTCTTTAAAGGATTTGCATAACTATTGGGCAACTTACTAACATTTAAACAAACTGGAAGGCTTGAAAAAAGTTTGGATAGTTAGAGATTCTCAGATTATTTTTTTACTAAAATGCTTGTGCAAATAAGAACTATGGAAGCTATTCTTGTGTAGTAAAAACAGAATCAGCTAACTTGTGCAAACTGAGGAAAAAACCAAAAAGCAACAGCTACCTTCTCTTTGTCCTTTTGTGGCATATTACCATATAATGTATAAAGAAGGAAGTGCTTCTGCTGGCTTGGACAGTATCAACTTTTATTATGAGCAAATATAAGGCACTCAATAAGATAAATGAATTGAAATATAGTAATGACAGATCACTGTTTCTTTTTTGGTAAGGTGTCCAGGCAAGGTCAGCCTCAGGAATCTTATCATGAGAAAGGCAGAGAACATCCTGAAGAAGGTAAGATTTAAAAAGAAATCTTAATGCTAGCTCCAGCTTTTACTCCTATTATGTACAATGCTGATTTCAATATTGGAATAAATTGGGTTCAGTTGTATTTATTTAACTTTAGCAAGCCTAACTGGCAACCTGCCATCAAAAGGTCTCCATTTGAATATTGGCTATTGAAGTTCAAGCCTCTTATTTTGAAAAAGTCCATTTCTCATATTGCACCTTCATGCTGGAGCAACATGTGGCCAGTAAGCCAGATGCAGTTCCACATGACTGTCTTTGTGTCTCCCCTCCTGCTGCTGAATTTGCCACCACGATGGTGATGGCAAGAAGTAATTTCAGTAATAATTTTCCATACACTCTTCCTCTAACCAGGAAAGGCAACTGTAATTATAATCAACCCATTCAGACTTTTTAAGTTTAGTGAGCCCAGTGAGCCCTTCGTTGTTTTAACATCTGATACAGGAAGTGGCGAATAGCAGCTGGCTTTCTGAACTGCTACTTAACTAACCTTTTTGGTGGGTCCTCACAACTTGGATAGATGGGGTTTTCCGAGGTGGGGGCGTGGTAAGCAAATGTGATTCTTAGCCATATATGTTTTGGGTTAGATCATCAACAGCAATGTCTTCTGTTACTAGGGGATAGTCCAGAAGGGTTGGGTGACCCCTGTAAATGAGATCTGTAACATGACATTTGTAAAATCCAGCATTTCAGGTCCTGCCTAGATGCTTGCAAAGTTGCCTTGATTTGGATTAGATAATAAGCAGATTAAAAATGGAACTTCCTATGATGAGTAGCTTCATCAATGGCAGAAGGGTTGTTGTATACCACCCTGAAATTGTTTTCTCCCTAACTACTACTAATTGGAATGATGAGAATACACTTGTTCATGCTGCGTGTATATAAACTACCAGAATGACAATTTTTGAAGGAATAACACCCCCCACCCCCTATGTAGCTTGAAGATCTTAGTTCTTTATCTGAGAACACTGTGCAAAAATACTGTCAATAGTATCAGATTTGTACCTATAGTGGTAAATTGACTTTCAAGTTTTTGGTTTGGGGTTCAGTGACCTGAGCTTTCTCCTGCACAATAGAGGAAATAATCTCCAAATTTTCAAGGATACCTATAGAAACTTTAATACTGTCCTCCCAAGGGTGCAGTGCTGTCTGGAGAGTATTGGGAGCTGTAGGACTTCTTTCCATCTAAACTGGATTGCACCCTGATAAGACTTTTAAAGATGAAAATGCTGAATGCAAAGCAAGTTTTTTCCCCTAAAAACTGAAATAAGTGCTTTTTCTTTTTCTTTTTTTCTTTCAACTGTAAGAATAATTGCCATGTAATCTGATATAGAGATTTGTACAGCGGAAATTTAAGTGGCAGTTCAATTAATAACTGTGACTTTTTACAGGGAAACACTCGGATGGTGGTTTATACAGTAAAGGACCTTCTTATTCTGGTTATTCTGGGTATATCATGATGCCAAATATGAATAATGATCCATATATGTCTAATGGATCGCTTTCTCCACCAATTCCTAGAACAGTAAGTTTACTTCTTCTATATCACACTTACATTTATCAATGGAGAGTAAGAAATTTTGGGAAAAACAGGCTTTGTTTACAGGTTAGCCATTTTTTAGTTTTGACAGGATTTAAAACAATGCTTTTTGCTAATTAAGGTGCTGAAAAGACATCCCTGTTGCTCATTTTGCACTATGTAAGCTTTTAAAGAATGTTGGAAAGCCAAGCGATTTTCAAAAGCAAGCATGAGAAGTGAATAATAAGAATCATATAGCATATTGGTGTGACTTTGGTGACAGCTGTATTTCATGGTTATGTTTATGCCACTCATGGTGTTAGCGGACTTTCCCAGAAGAGGCAGATAGTTGCCATAGGAGAGAGACCTTCTCTTGGAGTGCCTCCTTATGCATGTTTAGACAGGAAAAGTCCTATAGCTCCCTGCATTCTCCATTCAGCAGTTATGGATGTTATAGGATTTCTTTCTTTCTAAACAATTCTCAGTTGTATGACTATTCTGTCGAACTATGTATAGGATTGCAGCCATACTAATTATCTTGATTTTACTGAAGAGTCTGAGTCCCTTCTTCGAGAAATCTGTCCCAGACAGCACAATACGCTTGTGTATCAGAATAAGAGATGAGTGAAAGAATTCCATGGAAAACACTTTTTGTTTCACTGGAAATCGTCTCTCAGGATCTTTAGTAGATTCTCTGGGCCTATGTTGCCTTTCTTTTAATATGCATACAAAAATATTGCATATAGAAGGTGATTTTTTAAGCTATGGGTGTCCTAGATAGTCTTCCAAAATAGGAATTTCTTTAAAGGAAGGCTGCTTAAATGTATGCTAGCTTCTCAGTCATAAACGCTGTTGATTTTTCTTTGTGTTGAGCTTTTGCTAGCATTTGAACATGGTGGTTTGGAGCTTGCTCAGATAATGGAATAATTGTTAGAAGTACTGAAGAAGCTACCTGAGAACAAAGGTGCTCGCATTTTGGAGAATCATTATTTCTTAGTGTGAGTTGGCTGAACAGTATAAAGCAATGTGAGTGGTTAAACTGAAGCAGCTGCCTTTATCCTGATTGAACTGGGAGAGGCCCAAATGTGTGACTTTTGACTTTTGAAATGGAATGCGGTACATCTGCAAAATGCGCATGCATAATTTCCCCATATAAACATGACAAGTATTAACTTAGGCATGTAATACATGTTTTCAGGGCCTGTGCTGTCCACACCAAGCTTCTCCAACCTGGTGCCCTGTGGATAGTTTGGACTAAACTAGCATTGCTAATAATTAGCTGTGCTGGCTGAGGCTGGAGGGAATTAAAGCCCCAAACATCTGGAGGTTTGGGAAGGGTAATTTGGACAGCACTGGGACTGGCTACATCCAAGACAAATGCACATTGGTGGCAAGGGTGGCTTATTACTGTGATATTTTGACTAGTCTGAAGGGGAGACTCTTTATATGAATACTTATTTTGAAGTACATCTGATTGAAATCTGTTTACTTTTGAGTAATTCTGAATATGATTTGCATTCCGTGTCTTAATTCCTGGTGTACTTTCTCATCTTGAAATCATGTTGATTGCCACAAGTTAGGATCTGTGGGGATTTCTGTTCCATGAAACTGTAGTTTTGAGTGAGATGGACAGATTAAATTTGTCACATAGTGGTGCCCTTTATTTTTATTTTTATGTACTGCTTAGGCTTCTGAAATTGAAGCTGACCTATTAAGTCTGCAGGTTCTTGAATTAAGACAGATACATGAATATTTGAAAATGTGAATATCTACCATTGACTCACTCTAGGTATTAGCAATAGTTTTGGCTAGATGTGTTTGGCATATACAACTGATAATATCAGTGAGGAACCATTCACTGTGTTGCCTCATAAACTGTAAATACTGTTATGGAAGAAAACTGAATATATCCCTATTGCATTAGACAAGACAATTTTTATTGACTTTTATGGTCACTTTGAATTGTTCAGTATCCCACCAAAGAATACAGTGAATATGTATGCATTAAAGCACATGTATGTTCTCTCTCTCTCTCTCTCTCTCTCTCTCTCTCTCACACACACACACACACACACACACACACACACACAATTTAATAACAAAAATCCTCAAGCTATGCCTGTAACTTTTTTCAAAATAAAGATACCAAGATGGGAATAGAACTTTGTGAAACAGTAAAGACATGTTCCTACTATATTGCTAGAATGTTACTTTAAAGCTGTTCTGTGTTTGTAACTAGTACAACTTTGGTATTTTAAAACCCCTCAAGAGCATTGGCTATATTCTGTGGTGAATAGGTAAGAACTTGTATTTAGAGCTTCATGGTTTTGTTTTCTACAGCTATAAAATTGGTGCTTTGTGTGTTGTCATTGCATTCAGTGATAGAAAGCATGGTGTTCAGTTTTTTACAGCTCACGTGCTTTTTGAGACAATCACAGAATTCCCATAAGGAAAATTCCCATCTGCTTAGAAATAAGTCTGATATAGATAAAAATGCCTTAGAGGAATATTTGCAGCAGAGTTGATGATCTTGATAGGGAGTCCTCCCTAAAAAATAATCCTCTCCCTCCATGTTTGTGTTACCTTGTCAAATTGGATTGGAAACACACATTTTCTAAGGCAATGAAGGCTAGAGGAGAGGAGAGGAGCTATGCAGACACCATCCCTTAGTTTCTCTGTCTTCCAGGTAAAGACAGTGAGAATGACGCTGTGATTTAAGGGCAGACTTTCTGGGTAATGTGGTGATGACCATTTGTTTGTTGATCTCTTTAATAGTACATGTGGAATTCTTCACAAAGCATCTGCCCACTGACCACAGCTGTTTTCCCAGAGGTGTTAGGATTTGAAGCACCTTGGGGGCAGTGATTTTTTTCACCTTGTTCTGGACAGCCTGATGTTATGCAGGAACTGTTACAAAAACTATTTATTTAAATAGAGACTCTTGGGTATAATCGATGGCCTTATGGCTGATAAATATTCTGCTGGTTTTTTGTAGTGCATTACTAAGTTAATCACTAAGAATTTTAGCATTCCATAATGAATGTTTCTCATGATGATAGTGACCTAGTTCCACAGTGCTGATCATTCTTGTAAAAAGGACTTTACTTGCAAGCATTTCTCTGAAACATTACATGTTCTGCTATCAAGTTATAAAAAGCTTGAATGTAGGCTTGTATGGTGAGCCACTGATGCAGTAACAGATTTAATTGAATAAGATGGAAGAACTGTGTTTATGGCGGATGTTGGCAGAGTTTTTGATGTGAGCTCAGCAACATACTTTTACACAAGAGATCTAGATGACATGGGAAAACAGTATGTTTTATGCCTTTCTCAATAAGTTGTTGTCTCATTGATCACTGCCATCAACACTGAATCTTACCATCACTGAAAGATGGTAAGCTTCCAAATGGATGAGCAAGTTTGGCTATCAGTTTTGGAAACTTCCTGTTTCTTGAACTTTTTCTGAATTAACGTGCAGTCCAGGAAGTGTGTCTTCTTCCAGTGTTTTCTGTATACTGCATGTGATGGCTGCTTTGCATTTCATATTTAGATGCAGAGATGGTTCGTGTATAATGAAAAATGCTTCACCCTGAGGACAGTATTAAACAAGGTAAACTAGTGGCCTGACTTATTATATCAGGCATGAAAGATTAAAAATCTGAGGTCCATTCATAAAATTGCTTTCCATATGGCTCTTGCTGCATGGCACTGGCAAACCTTCTGAAGCAGTTAAAAGTTAAAGACACTTTTCCTGAAAGCTTATTACCAGCCTTTATTTGAAAAGCCCTTACCTTCATTTAGATTTTGCCTATATTGTTCTTATTCTTAAATATCTGCTGAATACCTCCCATTATACGCTCACATCTTAGTGAGAGGAGGGCTGCATATCCGTGGAAGAGAACAGCACAAGCAGCTGGAGTGGCAAAAGGCAGGATGCTGTTCTTCATAAAGCAAGTGCTAAAGTAGCCCATATGTCAAGAGTAAGACCACAGTCCTTGTGGATGGAGCCTTGTGTGCCTTTTGGCAGTTTCCACCACTGCATAATGTGTCAAATGTGGAAGGGGAAAGAGGGAAGAAAGATCTGTGCTGCAAGGGAGATGGGTTGGGGGTCTCTGTCCTGAAGCCAGGCCTATCCCTCCACAACTTTCATCACTCGAGCAAATGGAAGATGGCAAGAAGTGGAGTTTCATTATGTAGCTTACATACTCAACAAGTAAGAGAAGTCTGGTTTGCTTTGCATCTAGTGCCTAGCTAGGACTGAGCAATAGGTCCTACGTATAGGCAGTGTACTAGTATCAGTTTTAACTTAGAGTCTCATACAGCTGTTAGCACTGAAATTGGGTTTTATCTTGTACTGTAGAAGATGCCATTCTGAGAGAGATCCATTGATTATGGCTGGTACTTTTGCATAACAAGAACTATCAGGTTGGTTTTAAATTATCAGTGCTTGATAAAAGAGGAGCAGAAACCCACTTTGAGTTTCAGTTCATAATGCTTTAATTTTTATTTTGATGTGAAAGGCAGGGAAAGCAGCCATACTGTGAGAATGGTGTAATTAAGTTATGTGGAGAGAGTTGTTGTATCCAAAGTGGATTTAATATAAGATTCACAGATTATGTTTCAGCAGAGGTCTCACTGCTAACTTGGAAGCTGGAGATTCCATAGCCAGACTGTATGGCAGGATGCTTAGGGACCACCAGGTCATTTTCATGTACATCTGATTTGCTCAGATGATAACTAGATAGACCTATTAATAAAAGTTGGAAACAGATTGAATCATGCAGAGGGTGTTTGTCCTGTAGTTAGCCACAGGAGGCCTCATTCTTTCCACCTATAATGCTCCTCATATAAAAAGTGGGCCAAAAGTAGGCATACAGTACTGGTGAGGTCATGGAGGACCTCACACTGGATGAATTGAAAGAGTTCATCTTGCAAACATGTATTCAGATTGGCGCTAACCAGAATTTGTCACAGGTTCCAGGAATGTTGCAATATTGATGGAGAAC